GTTGCTTCATGCAGAGTACTGGTTAGGCTGCTAGAGCCCAGAAATCAATGATTATGCTTTATTCAGGAATGACAAAAGAAGTTTGTAGTCCATAGGGTCTGTCCCAGCAATGAAGTTTGTGCAGTTCTTTCTGATAACACAGTATGGAGCATGTACACTGTGCTGGCGCTACTGGTAGCAGATGTTTTGCAGCCAGTAAATTACTGCTTGTTTTCTAGTGTTACTTGCAGTGATGGATGATGTGCTTGGCTGTCTCTGCAGCAATGGGATCACGGAGGTCACCAAAATAAGCAACAAGCAGTAGTTTTATCTTGCTGCTTCTGATGGTAGGAAAGAAATGAGTGTTGCAGAGGCTGGTGAAATTGCTGTTCAAGGGAAGGGGTTTGCTGGCACATCTTCCTCACTGAAACACTTCAACAGGTCTATAAATTAGAATTTAGCAGTTGTAGTTCTGGGAACAAATTTCTTAGACCTGTGAGGCCTTTAAGGGAATCCTTAAGCCGTTGTGACTAAGAACAGTGTCAGAGGCTCTGCATTTCAGCTCTCCCTTGATGTTAGCTGATGAGCAAGAAAATAGGTATTTCTGGTGGACCTAAGGTTTCATTCCTCTATATTTACAGTGATTCATCCTGTAAAGAGCAGCTTTATGTATGCTGAAGAGCCAGTTGGAAGCTGCCTGTGTCTCATACACTTCCTTTTGTTCTAAATGCCTCCAGTACTGAAATGTTCCTATGAGTATTTCTAAGGAGAGCAATAGACTGAGAAAAATGCTGCCCTGCAGCGATGAGCATGTATCATGTCAGTGTGATCGTCATCATCACAGGATGTGCAACAAAGATCCACCTCTAGATTTCTGACTCAAGCTTAGTGTAGGCAAGGGTAATGACAAGAATGCTTGGTAACATGTGATGCATCTCTCTCTTCGGGGTACTTAAGGGAAAACAGCACTGTAAGTCTTGACCTGGAGGAAGGGGATTCACCAAATCAGAAACTGGTAAAGCTTTAGAAAACACTTCTTAGGGCTTATTTTATACTTTTTGGGGCATAAGTAATGGGAATGCCTTATTTGCAGCAGCCTAATTTTATCCCTTCTATTCTCCTGAACCAATACATAAATATTTCAATTGCAGAGAAGCCTCAAAAGAGGAAAGCAAGTCCGAGTCTCTTGCCCATCACTTTCATTGACACCCCATTCCCTCAGAGCACTGGGTGCCGAGTGAAGGGACCTGATGGGAGAGATCAGCCTGCAGCAACAGATGTGGTTTCTTGCCAAAGATAATACTTGTGATACTTGCAACACAGGACAAACAGAGCTCAGTTTTAAAGCACTCACGTTGCAACTACTGCATTTTAAAACATAATCAGGACTTCTGTTTCTAAGAAAGTAATGCTTGGCATCATGATACTCCAACACATAGATTACACTCATGGGAATTTAGTCATCAGCAGTTATCTGAACTGTAGCTTCTTTTGGAAAACAATATGTGGTTTTCAGGTCATGATGACCATAACTAGTAAAAACCTGCAGTGGGATGCAGCTCTTACTGTGAGAGATGGGCTGTTAGTACAGTGTTAAACATGCACAGAGCATCCTGACAGGAGAGAAAATTTTATCCTATTGAAGATAACGGTGACAAACTGACAGTCAGAAATTGCCTCTCTCAGGATAAAAATCTCTTTAAATTTAGTGAAGGAAAAATGAAATAATGGTCACTTATCAAAACCAGTGAGAAATCTCTCAGAAAATAAATGACAGAGAACAGCTTTAGAAGGAGCAGGTGAATCTGGTTCTCCTGAAGTCAGTGGGCTCAATGGCATAAAGGTGGTAAAATTAAATGAGCTAGAAATAAAAATGCTGGTTAGAAATAAGTTACCTGAGCATACTATGGTTGTATATCACCCCCATATTATCATCTATAAAGGAAACCCTAAAATAATGATTCACATGTGATGATTACTTTGGAACTTTCAATATAGGCTTCAAACTGTATATATATATTTTATAGGACTCCAGGGTTTCATAACTCCTAATTCACAGGCACAAAGGAGTAACTAAAGATCTCAGGCACTAACTGATAGGAATACTACTGCAGCAAAATGGGGATAAATCCATCCCACCCATATAAAGTTGTTTGCCTTTGAGGTCTATGAAAACGTGCCTCCATGCTACCCAAGTATTGGCCAGCATGGAAGGTTGCTGCTCACCTGCATTTCCTGTCTAAGCACAAGGAGCCCTTCCATGTGCTGCTTAAAACAGCAAGTTGAAAGAAGTGCATGAAGGGGGGTGCATGGCCTGTCCTCCTCTCCCTTTACAGCTTTCCCAGATGGATCTTGAGCTATTTTAGGGAAGTGTCTAGCTTGCTGTAGTTGGTCCTAAGGTTTCCAATACAAAATGACCAGAAATGAAAGAACTGTACTTTGAGAGTTTATGAAAATCAAACTGAAATTCATCTGGGAAAGGAAAGTATGAAGTTAATCAGTCTGCAAGATTACTATCCCATCTTACAGCCAAAAGTAGTTAAGGCAGAAAAATACAGTATCTTTAAGTGCCAATAAACTTTTCCAGCTAGTGATCTTATTCCAGCTATTCAGAAGGGAATATAAATCCTGCTTCTTGTCCAAACCCTTATTAATAAGAGCAAGCTGAATCCTAACAGTGATACCAGCATTTAATTTTGACTCAAGCTCATAATTTTCATTTGTGTTGTCCTTTTTCACTATCTTTTTCTACCACTGTACAAAGAAATCTGAAGCGAATGAGGTTTTTAGCAATTGTAGTGTAGTGAGAAGATAAAAATGAGCTGGTGTGTCATGATCAGATTCCCAAAGATAGATTCCTTAGAAGCATGGAATGGTTCGACTTGGAAGGGACCTTAAAACTCACCCAGGTCCAACCGCTGCCACGGGCAGGGACACCTTCCACTGGAGCAACTTGCTCCAAGCCCCTGTGTCCAACTTGGCCTTGAGCACTGCCAGGGATGGGGCAGCCACAGCTTCTCTGGGCACCCTGTGCCAGCGCCTCAGCACCCTCACAGGGAAGAGCTTCTGCCTAAGATCTAACCATCATCTGTGATGTTTCTCTAGATCTTGAATTTGGGGTATTCCCTATTTCTAAATCTACTTTACCTTCATGAGACCTGTGGAATTCTGTTACCTTCTTAGTGATTGAATTCCCTCTCTAATGATTTACTTTACATGGCAATACGGAAATCTTGACAAGAAAACTCATGTCAGTCAAATTCATTTTACCTTATTGTAACTACATTGAACTCATTTTGTTAGAAGTCCACATAAGGTATGGGAATGATATTTTAAATTGAATGTTAATACTTTCCTTTAAATCAACATGCCCCGAGTTGAACTGAATGCATAAACAACAAGTAACTGGGCAGTTGCTCTTTAGCGGTTTGACTTTTACCTTCTTTGACATATCCTGTAAATGTGAGAAATATGTCATTTCTGGATGACTACTGGACATACGCAGTGGATAGCAGTGAGCTGTGACCTGCTATGCATGAGCTGACATGCAAAGATTGGGCAGGTATTTGTATATCTCCTCACTGCAAAGCCTGAGCTCGTTGTGAAGATTGTGAAGATGTAGGGATGCTCAAACCCCTCTACTCCGCATGCCTTTCCCATTTAATTTGCATTCAAAACAATTTCCTTAGAATTTCTAAGTTCTCTGATACAGAGATGTGAAATATGGTGGGTTTTGTCATATACACTAAGCAAATGTTTGAGTTGGGGGAAAGAAAAGCTTTCATCTTGGAAGGTGTTTTAGTAGTTCCTAGTAATGTTAAAATTGGAAGTTACTAAAGAGGTGGAATAAAAGGGTTTTTTTCTCTCTGACCCTTTAAAATCTGGTTTCATTTTGACATAAGAGGATGAAGTCTCCTAGGAACAGGGTCTGGAGTAGAGCTTGTCCACAACAAAATCTGCAAATACTGCCTTATAAAACAAGGTCAACCAGGGAAACATTGAAAGAGTTACACAGAAACCTGTGTAACTGTTGTAATGCTCCCTAGAAGCACAAGTAGTTCCTAACGAGAGAAATGAAAGTTTCCTGACATCTAGGGTATTTTACCAAGGAAAACACAAGGATCTTAGGATTGCTTAGATCTTTAAGCCATCTTTGTTCTTATACTTTGGCTCATTTGGACATGATCAGAAAAAGAAAACAAACGAATAGGATTTTGTCTTTGCATTCTAGCACTTGATGCTGGATCATTTTCCATGAAGAGACAGAGCTGTTGTGTAGACTGTGGTGCTTCAGGAATTCTTGCCCATGTGCTTTCATACTTCTTACGTTTATCCTCAGGATTTACTTAGGATTAAAGTAAGGTTTGTGTGTAAATGTGTTGACATTATGCAAAAGGCTCCATACCTCTGTTTTTTTGCCTGCTTGTTTTCTGTTCTGAAGTGTGTTAAGCCTAGAAGATTGCTTTGGTTAATTGGCAGAAGAGTAAACCATTGCAAAGCTGATCTGCAGAAGTTTTCAGGATGCTGGGAAACAGAACCTATTTGTTTGCACTCTTTTATTTGCCTTTTTATTCTCATTTGTTCATTGTATTTTTGTGCGTGCATGACTCAAGTGGTAGAAAAACAAGTGTGTTTTCATGAGTGTTTGCAACCCATATGAGTTCCAGATCCTTTTCTCTTTACGTAATCCTTTGTTGCGTCTTTTTTCATGGAATGAGTAGATTAAAAAGCACTGGGAGAATGGAATTGTCATCCCCAAGTCCAGCCTGTGACTGCTACTATGACTAAGTGCAGATAGGCACTTGCATTCCCTCTGGGCTGGACAGACCTGTGCATCCCCTGTCTAAACAGAACTGCTCTTCTGGGCAGCAGTTGGGCTGGCTTGATACTGATTTGCTGGGCAGCACACTCAAGTACCAAGCAATATATTCCTGCTGATAAAATCTCATATTCTCTGGAACTCGGTCCTGCCCCTGATCATACCTATGTCTTGACATACGCTTTTTTTGTTTCCTCTCCAGCACCAAGTGTCTGCTCCACGTGCTTTCTGACTGCAGCCTCTCCTTTATCTGCAAGTCTCCCTGCCTTCTCCTTCTACACGTTGAGACCAGCTGCCTCAGAGTTTCTGCCCCACCTGAGCTTTGCTGCAGTGTATGCTAGACCTCTTGTCTTAAGCATTTGGCTTTCATCTTCTGTGGAAGGTATTTACACTTTACTGTATTAATACATTGCAAAGTGTCTCTTAATGCTAGACAACTGCTGGCAAGCATGAAGAGAGGTAGAAACAAAATGCAGTGGATTCTCTACATTAGAAACAGAATATATAATCAGAAAAAAAAGAATTCAAACTGCATTTCCTTGAACTGAATAAGCAATTATAGTGTCTTGATTTAGGAGGTTGCTTCATTCCTATGCCCTGAAAATCTCAGCTCTGCTTTAGTTGACACCCTGACACTAAACCTATGAGGCCAGAAAAATACAGACTGGTCTTCTGCACTATGCAAAGTTCCCAGCATCCTGAGTGTGTCAGGCAGCTGCTGCATAAAAAAAATCTAACTAATGCTCCCAGAGAGCAAAGAGAGCTTGAACTGGGTCCATATTTTAGCTGTATTGTGTGGGCTTCTGGGAGCAGACCCAGTGAGCAGTGGGTGAGTAGGAGTTTTCTGTCTTTGTATTATGTCAGAGTTTGAGGGGAGGCATCTGCTGTGAATGTTTTAAGACAGGAGGTTTTTCTTTTCTAACCAGACACTTTAGGTGAAATATAAATGTCTGAATCTTGAACCAGTGGCCTCTGGAGCCTGAGCACTCTGCAACATCCTTACCTCACAGAAAGCTTGCTGGCAATCTGTGCAATGTACAGTGAAGTGACTGGTGATAGAGTGCAAGATGTCCTCCCTGGCTGGGAGTCTGCAGCTGTCTCTGAGATAAATGCCTGTGTCTTTGAGCAGCTCTGGTCATACACTTAAAACAGAAAAGTGCTTGTAAAGAAAAGATTGATCCTTTCGTGTACTTTTCACTTCCTTTATATGGAATTCTTTAAGCAAAGAACGAAGTGCAAAGAAGTTTAAATGAAGTTCAGGCTTCAGCAGCTTCTGCTTATGAACAGGAAACTGGGAGTTGGACTAACCTGTCAGCCTTGACAATTCTTGAAAGTCTCAGTTTGGCAACTCATGTTAAGAACATTTGTGGGGTTCTTACATGTTCGTTTTCTGCTTGCTGGTGTCATCTGATTGCTGAATACATTTTTTGCTGTAGTCAGAAAGTATAATGGAGAAGAGGCATCCCTTTTATTTCAGTTGTGCTCTTGAATGCTTCTACCACTCCTTCTAGAACTCTTTGGCCTTGTTGTAAATCTGAATAAATCTAAATGCCTAAATAGCAAAGCAATGCTAATCGCTGATGTCATCACACATCTTTACACTTTTCACTCTTCACCTTCCCATGGGGTTCACTGACTTCCCCACTAGGCAGAGTTTGAAATGTGGGACTTCCAATAAAGGTAGTCCAGGATTAGAAGATCACTATTACTGTGTTTACCAGTGTATTATTTTCCTTGCTGTCTTTTACTACAGAATCATAGAATGATTTGTGTTGGAAGATGGGCAGGGACACCTATTAAATCAGGTTATTTTTTTATATTAGTTATTATTATATTAGGTATGAACCTTTATTATTTCCATCAATAGACTGAATTTGTAAGCTCTTGGAAATGGGCTGAACCCAGGACAAATGGGCTGAACCCCACGACAGCTGACTAAATGGTTGTAACAAGGTTTCTCACCTACATTGATTAAAACAATCTTGTGGAAGCCGATTATACCAAAACTTCTCTTAGTTCTGTATCACATCCCTTATAGAAGATATTAGAGAAGGAGTTGGAGTGGGAAGAGGCACTTCTGAAAGCTGTGGAATGGTAACTTGCTGTAGGAATAAGAAGCTACAGAAATAATAACTTGTAAATAATATTTGAAGGCTATAGCTGGTTAAGTGCAATACAGCTTGAAGTTCAGATCCTCCTTCTTCCAGTTTAGTAAGGGAAATGGGGGTTGAAACTTGATGATCTTAAGTTCCTTTCCAACCCTAACCATTCTCTGATTCTAAATATGTTGCAGACTAATGCATCTATGTTCTTAGCATGGTAAAATGTGTACAGCCTTTGGTTGCTTAAACTACTGAGAAGGATGGCAAGTTCAAAACCTGTAAACTCATCAGCTCAAGGCAGCGTAGCAGCTCTCTGTAGTATGCAGTGCTGTTGCTACCACCGCTATAAAATGGAGTGTGTTGTTAAAACCACTGTGGATAAGGAGTTATGGCCTGCATGGAAGAGTGCCATCTTTGTGCTAACTTAGATGTTAAAAAATGCTAACTTGAACTCACAGATACCCTGATTATCCTGCTAAAAGAAGACCTGGAATCCCTTCTCAGAATTACAGCATTTTAATTAGAAGAATGTGAGCGAAGTCTTAATCTTGTTATTAGGGATGGACACGGATAAGACAGAAACAAAATCCACAGCGACAGGGCCTAAACACAAAAAATCAATGGTTTGAAGACTAGTAACTGCAGTGATTGCTGCAGCAACAGAACTGCTTCTTGTCCCTTCTTTTCATACAAGACTAAGCTTGACAGTGAATAAGTTGGAAGAAGTACCTCTTCTTATAACATTGAGCTGCCTCACACGCAGCAATTTGAAAATACACAGCTGAACTGCAGGGAAAGGTATTTGAATTTACAAAGCAAATCCCCAGATGCATGAGTATTTTTTATTTCCTTTTAGCCCTTCTAAATTCTTGTGACATTCAGGGATCAATAACAATCTCATCTGTGGCTGATTCTGACAGATGTTAATCTTTCCCTTGGCTTTGCAGTCGGCTTGAAATAGTACTTGTTTCTTCATGTCAGGCCTCTGGCAATGCTTACTGGAGTCAGAATTACAGTTTCTAGTGAATCCTATTTTTACTGTCATTAGCTTTCTAAACTTCCCCATAGCTGGCAACATTTCCAGGCTTGGAGACCTACTTAGTGGGAAGCTGGGAGAGTGATGGGTTGTTTCTGTCTCAAAGCATTGTGCCTTTAATTGAGGTTTGCTTAACTTTGTCATGAAGTCCATTTATGTTGAAGGCATTTCATGACAGTGATCACATACTGTGCTTGTAGAGTGGCTGCTTTTCTGTTGTAATTTACCTATTAATGAAAGGGAAAAATAGCTCCATGTTTACTTAAGGTTTTTACAAGTAGGTTTTTTTTTTCCTTCTGCTGACTTGGTTAATAGATTCAGGAAATTTCTGGATTGGAAGTCAGGGACATGGCTCACCTGCAGATCCTGTGCTGTGCTTTAGCTAAGGAATTGGCTAGATCTATTTAGAAAACTACAGGTGCTCTGGTTTTGGTACCTACTTGTCTAGATAGCAGTTGATACCACCATCAGAACCCATAAGCCCTGGGCTTGTGCTTCCAAGTTAGGGACAAATCTTGATCAGAAAGCAACAGGAACAGGAACATTTCTCTCACAAATGCCGTGGAATTGATGCTGGACAGCAAACCGTGGGTGCAGTATTGCTTTTTGTGTTCATCAGTTGTACAGGCTAATTTCCTTCTCCTAGAATGTGTTAGGGGTGACCCAAACCATGTGAGTTCTAGCATGAGCTTGGCAATGATCATTTTAGTTGGGGAAGCCAACTCATTTCTTAATAAGAAAAGAAAGTTGATTAATCAGCTGCGTCATCCTGTTCTACTTCAGGATTGGTATGAATGGCGTTCCCTATGGATCAGCCTACACAGAGGCAAATGCCAAACCATAATTAAGACTGAGTGACTGCAAGTTCAATGAAATGTTTCAAAATACCAAATTAAGATTGAGTGACTGAGTTCAATCAAATGTTTCAAAATATCACTCATGTGTTTTAGATAAAATAAAAAGCCAGGGATATTCTCAGTCAAGCAGTTAATTTCTTCCTGAACACTTAGAGAATCATGGAGTCTACTAGGTTGGAAAAGACCTTCAAGACATCAAGTCCAACCATTGCTCAGCACTGCCAAGGCCACCACTAACCCATGGCACTGAGGGCCTCCTGTACATGGTGTGTGAACGCTTTCAGGGGCGGTGACTCCAACCCGAGCAGCCCTTGGGTAAAGGAATTGTTCCTAATCTCCAGTATAACCCTCCCCTGGTGCAGTTTGAGGCTGTTCCCTCTTGTCCTATACTTGTGATGTTCTTAATTTGAAGATTTTCACTATGACTCTTTCCGAGTAGAGGAACTTTATTTCATTGTGCAGGTTTGCATTAGGTTCCACTTCAGTATATAGACTGACAGATGAAAAATGGCACCTTCCTTCTCTCACATTCTTCTTTCTGAATGATTCTGCAATGCTGCCTTGTTTCTGGGACAGATAATTTGCAGAGCCTCTAGGAATTAAAACAGGCTTTTAGAATATTTTAGAAAGAGAAACAATAGCAACCTACAAAACCTCTTGCAGATATTACTACAAGTGGCAAAAATCACGCCTGGAAGGGAAAAGGGGTATTTTAGAGATAAGTCAGTAGGTTTTTTCATCTATTATTTTTAGATAGTTAATCCCCAAAGGGTATTTCTGTGGATTTTGTTTCTTGCATCTAGCAAAAAAATGTTTCAAATAGGAGCTGAAGACGGCTTATGTTAAATTTTCTTGCAAGAGTTCATCTAGTTGAAATTAACGGTGATTGTTTCAATACGTGTCTAGTTCCTTATGTGCCCCAGGTTGTGTGCAATAATGAAAACCTGATCATCAGCACATCCATAAATGACTCATCTTCTTTACTGCTCCCACATGGTTGCACAGCTTTACTGACTGCTTGCTTTGATGAATATTTGGTATTTGTCATGTGAAGCTATTCCATCACTTTTGTAATATGAGAGATTCCAAGCACACTGAACACCTTAACACCATGTCACAGCTCATGGATTCATACTCATTTTGTGACCCAGTATGACACAGTAGTCTATACCAGCCACATAAAGATAAAAGTTACAACACAGACATCTGGCTGCAACCATGCACCTGGATTAAACAGTTTCCCATCTGGCTCTACTATATTATGGAGCAAAGCAGGTGGTAGAACCTTAGGTAAGAGCTGTCATTAAAGAGTAAGCAATTGCTTTTCTTTCTTGTTTAGTTGGTTGTTTCTTTCCCCAGTGGATAAAGGTGATACATTTATCTCATG